TGAGGTCCAGAGTTGGGATCTGAAATGAATACTTTACAGATACCACATGAATAGGTGAAAGATTCAGGTTTATTGATCCTTTTGTCTGAAAATAAATTTTATTTTGCTTTTAATTTTGTATGTTACATCCTTTTGGGGTCCATGCATATTCACATGTCTTAACATAATGATGAAATACCAGAAAGATTAATATCTCTGCAAGAAGCTGTGACTACCCAATCATTATTTGGTCAAGGATTTCAAAAGTGATGATGCAAACCTGCAAAAAATCAATGTCACACTAATAGATATGTAGGTTTTAAAAAGAAAGTTTGTTGTAGATCTAAATGCCATTCTAGGTTATCTTGCATTATTAAATAATACATCTATTGGATATGTTTAATATTTTGTAACTGTTGAAGAAATTTAATGGTTTTAAAGTGTTTTCTCACTTTTATAATTTAATTTTACAAAAGTAATTCTAAATTATAATAAAGTATCTAAACATTACAGGTACTTAATAACAATACATAGTTTTAAAAATTTTAAATACCCAATGAACAGTTATGTTGATTAGTTATTATAAATAATTATTTTATTTCATAAAAACATGAAGTAATTGAAATATTGTACTTCTTTTTTTATAATTTTCAAGTTCACAATAAATAAGTTTGATTATACAATATATTTTTTGCATTTCCTAACATTTTTTGTCCCCTAGTGAATAATTCACATTTTAGTAAAAAGGCTGAGATTGCCACTACTTTATAGTACAGTTAAACATAGCCAGCTACACTGCAAAACATGATGAATGACAATCTGGCTGAATGTTAGTTAGCTTTATTATAAAACAGCACCATTTAATTAAATGGCTCAATGCTTTGTAAAGTGACTAAATTAATAAAATTAAATATATAACAGCTGGGAAAGTAAAATCAAAAACATTTGTGATTACACAAAATCATCAATTTTAGAAAATAATCGCCTTATTCTCTGTTGTTACACATCAAAAACACATGAAAATAGTGATTCTTTTATAATATATGATTTAATAAATATATTCTTTATAATGTAAAATATCATTAAATATAATCAGGTAATCATTTGGCTTTAATTAAATATGATTCAATAGAAAGAATAAAGAATTTTTTAGTGATTATTCACTAAAAAACAAAAAAATAATAATCACAAATAATTCAAATTCTATGTAATACATCATTAAAGAATTAACATATTAACTAATTCTAAAATATATCATCCTAAATATTGGCTAATGAGATGAATTTATTAGAGTACATTTTTTATATCAACATCAATTACTGTGTTTTCTTGATTCTAATGCACATTTTTCTTTTTCTTTTGACTTTTCTGGCCTCAAAAATTGAAGTGCACATCAGAATCAGGCACAAAGTTGACCTAATGCAGCCTTGTTCTTCTTGTTTGCTCTTCATTTGGCTTGGCAATTCACATGTATTATGATGTCTGTATAGACATGGTAAACCACTATTTTGGTTTGTAATGGTTTGGTGGTCTCTTGAATTATAGCAATCATGGGAATGATGTCCTGCTATCTCCTATAAAGCTGTGTTTAAGCAGAGAGTTACCTACTATGCTGAATATGTATACAGCAGGTATGTTAGTGTGATACTATGTATCTTGTAGATTTCATGCTTGTGCATACCAATATGAAATCTCTTTGTTAAAATATTAATTGTATGTTAATTTTGACTGTAATTTTGTATTGTTCTGCAGTCTTTTGTGTCTTTTAATGGGGGTCATAAATATATATATTTAAATACATTTGAAAATGTGGACATTGTGAAGCTCTGTAAACATGAAAATAAAATTATTTTAAAAAAATGCATTAACATTTTGCAGCTGTATTTTCAACATAGGCCATGCACTACATTTGCAAGCTAACTTTTTCAGGTTTTGACATCTCAAAAATTGTGTGCTCATTAGAATTTAGAAAACACAGTATATTTTTATGTATTATAGTAAATTATTTAATTTTTTATTGATTACTTTAGTCCAACATAATAATCATTGTATGAATTTGAATTATATTAATATGAGAACCGTTAAATAACATACATCTTTCACAGATCAAAATTTCTATCAGAATAATTTAATTAACTAAATTTTTTAAATAGGTTCATATTCTCTATTACCAATTTTCTTTTAACATGGTTTATATTAATATTATTTAGTTCAGCGGTCTGCAACCTTTCTGACCTCACGTACCACTAAACTCACAATTTTGAATCCCACGGACCACTCTCATGAATTTTTTTAAACAATACAAAATCTGTAGAATAATGATCATAAAAGTTCAATTTTACTATATTAATATGAAACTCGCTTGTTTAATTATAACAAATTAATGCAAGCCTGAAGTTCATTGCTGCTTGTTTGAAATAATTTTATGGATTCTTAGCACTTTTCCACGAAGGATGACAATCTTTGTGGAAAATATTGTTTATTGTTCATTATTTATTAATAACAGTTGCTTCGTATTTGGTTTTAGATTCAAATAAAAAAAACCCCAATGAGTGAAAAAAGGAACCAAGCATTTTGCATTTCTTTCGTAATACATTGCATAACCTTCAGTTGATCACTGTTCAAATTTCTCCACAGACCACCGGTTGCCATATCTGAGATCTCATAGATTCAAAAAGGAATTAAAAAAATGCTTTTGTTATCTCAGATATCTCAGAAAAATTAAAAATACATTCCATTACTCATTAATTTCTTAATTAAATTCAAATCAACGGTCCACGGACCACCGGTTGCCGACTGCTGGTTTAGTTTATATTGTTATAACATAAAAATAATTTCAAAGTTTTTCAAAATATTTGATAATTATATCAAAATTAATTGTCACTATTGAAAATTTAAAAAATTTAATTATTAGTTTTTAATTATATAAAACATACTTTAGAAATTTGCCATAAATTTTATGATTGATTATAAAATGTAAAATAAATCATTATCTTGGGTATTTTTTTTTAATTCTCTTTGAGACAGTTTCTGAGAGTTTTAATCAAGTGACTAATATGGGTCAAATGACTACACAAGACGGTTCTCAGAAAAAAACTTTTACATGGTCCCATAGCGAGGTGTGTTGGTGTTGTAACACCATCCTTGCTAGCTCAGTGTCACACCAACATTCCATCAGGCAAGTGTGACACTGAGCTAGCAAGGATGGTGTTACAACACCAAAAAACTTCTAGACTCACAACAACATGACCACCTTCAAATATGTTGAAGTTGCACCACAGAGGCTGTTATTTATGCTTCTCAAAAATCGGAAAGTATTTTGTTCAAGGAGTCAGAAATGTAACCAATATCTCCAAGTGAATAAGAAAACAGCACAACAGTGCCATATCTGAAATCTCAGAGATTCAAAAAGAATTAAAAAATGCTTTTGTTATCTCAGATATCTCAGAAAAATTAGAAATACACTCCATTACTCATTAATTTCTTAATTAAATTCAAATTTCAAATGCATATAAAAGATATAACAAACTGATTTTTCTCAAATATTTACATTCCTCATAAGTTATGAAAAGTATCAAATAATTAGGTTTAATAAGACTGTACAGTAGGCAATAGTATAAAATCCTAGTAAAAACAATGGTTTTATATATATATATGACTATTGGAGAGTAAATTTAATCATAAATAGAAAAATAGATCTTAAAAATTAAAAGTAGAAAATTTTTATGTAGAGGAATATCTAGAAAATATATAATTTGTCAACAAAATTTTTAAGACCATTTAAATCATAAAAAACCTTTAATGTGCAGTCTATTTTATTACATCTTTGAACATTTTCAGTCAGTTGATTGACCTTCTTCAGGAAAGAATTGAATGATTCCATTTTCGTGATTACTCAGGATATATTTCTTCATAATTGAAGTTTAGACTATGTACAAAAGTATCACTTTTCGAATCTATCTTTTAAACTTCAATTATGAAGAAATATATCCTGAGTAATCACAAAAATTGTATCCATATGCAAATGAAGTAGGATAACTCGTATCTACCACCAGAGGGCCTGAAGCAGTTTAAAAAAATGGATAAGGACAGTATGGTGAGAAGAATTCTTTGTGTTTTTAATGTAAAAGTGTCAGATCCTATAATAAAAGGCTGACACTTGATCGTTTTTAATATTGTGGATTTTTTACCTATTTTTTACCTTTGTTTTAAGAAGTATATTCTTCAAAAAACCATGTTAGCTGTTACTTCTGTGGTTGTATAAAAGGGATTAAAAAATAGACTCGAAAATGTAATATTTTTGTAATTAGTCTAAACTTCAATTATGAATGATTCCAAGTTTTACCGAATGTAATCTATTTTGGAACGTTTTTAATTTTTAAACTTTCTTAGAGTCTAGTGCGCAAGTCATGTGATAAAATAAACTGCATTTTAAAGGTTTTTTATGATTTTATTGTTATAAGTGCAGTCAGAGACGAGTTTAAGACCATTTGTTATTGTATCAGAAATATTTCATAAACACATGTTTCAATTTGCAGAGTTTTAGAGAATGATGCACATTATACAGTAGATTCAATAAACTTACAGATTGAACAAGATTTTTCTGTGTTGTGTAATTACTTCTTTATCAGTAGAATAATTATATATTAATAGAAAGTTTTGTGTAGTTTAGGATTAATTAATGTTTTATAAATGTGCTTATGCTTCTATTCTGAAGAAAAAATTTGTTATAATCCATAAATAATAAAAAATGACTTAATTAAGATTTATTTTCATACACACATTAATTAATAATAATTCAAATATAAAAAAATGTCAATTTATTTGCAAATTTAAATATAAAAAAATTGGAAATTTGGTGACATTAACTATAATTTTTAAATTAAATATAAAATTCAGATAGCTTCAATTAAATCTTCCAATCAAATTAACTTTATTTGATTCTGTAAAATGTATTTTTGGCAAATATTATATTGATAGTTGATATATAAAATTTTTATGTTGCCAGAAACAGAGCTCACCTGCTTTTTATTTTGCTTATCAGTGGATTCCCAAGATTGATTGTGATCTGGTATTAGTGACTGGTTGCTAAATCTTTCATTATTTCTAAAACAGAGAACTTCTTTTTCTAACATATCTATTTCACTTTCTAGAGTTGATATTCTGGCATCCTAATTTTTATTATATAAATATGTATGTAAAGATAAATTAAAACACAACAAAACAAAATTAAAATAATTATGATAAGGAAGTCAATTAAATTAATTAACTAAATATGCTTAATAAAAATTCATCAAATAAATAGCATATTTTAGATGATTTATAGTTAGGGCTGTGCTAAACCAAAATTTTGATACTGATATCAAGATTCCTTTGATATATTGGTTATTGACACAGCACTATTTATAGTATGTGAACTATAATAATTTAATGTTTATATGTTATGTTTAATTTATACAATTTATATTTGATTTAATCTTAATATATTTTATTGTTTTAAAAACATCTTAAATAGCAATCATAATATTTTATCGGATGACTTTCTATTATATGAAACTTAAGACAGTTTTGATAAAAACACTGAAAATATAAAAATAGTAGCATTAAATAGAAAGAGAATGAAATTACAAAAACAAAACTGTTGGATTTTCTAATTCAATATTAGATACCTTATAACTGTATAAAATACAGATTTAAGTTTTGTGTCAAAATGAATACTTTTCATTAAAAGCCAATAAATTATCAAATATTAGAATGCATATAATGCCAAAATCATGGCAGAATTTATATGGGCATTGTTCAATATCTTTTATTGATTTATAGTCATTATTTAAGTTTTATTTTATTTAAATTAAATTTATTTTAATTTCAAATGTATATAATTAAATGCTAAACATTAAAATGCTTTTGCAATATCCAGTTTGATTCCAAAATTTGTAAATCTAATGATGAAATGATTATAAAGACAATAAATGATCATTAAAGTTGCATTATGGCAATCTTCTTAAGCCTATTTTTTGAATAATAAAATTACTTGTTCTAATTTTTCAAACAATCCAGTAGATTTATAAAATTTTGTAAATTTTAATTAACAAAGAGTAGAAACTTTAACTTTTTGTGATTTAACATGAGGAAGAAGCATAGAAATCAATGGAAAACTACTATGCTTTATTACCAACATAACAACCTCCCTAGTAAGATGAGCACAAGTAGAAATAGAGGAAATAACAACATTGGGGTTGCAACAATTCCAACTGCAACACCTTGTCCAGTAGGGGAAAAAAGGGGCTCCCCAGATCCTCAGCCTGCACAACCTCCCACAGAGACTTTTGACAATTAGAACTTGGAACAAGAAGACTTTAAGGAAGGCTGGAAAACTAGAAAATCTGAAGAATGAGATGAAAATAAATAAATTAGACATAGTAGGATTAAGTGATGTGAGATGGGAAGATTCTGGAGAATTAGTGACTGACAATATCAAGCTTTACTTTTCAGGTAGAAGGAAAGCAATGAATGGAGTGGGGATAACATTGAAAAGAGAATTTGCATCCTGGGTAATTAAAGTTGATTACATAAATGACAGAATCATAATAGTGAGAATCCAAATGGAACCAAAACATCTGGTATTCATTCAAGTATATATGCCTACCAGATCTCATTCAGATGAAGAGGTAGAAAAAAATATGAACAGTTGGAAGAAATTATGGAAAAGGAAGGAAGAAATGCCTGCTTATTGTTGTTAGGAGATTGAAATGCTGTGGTGGGAAACACGAGGAAAATATTGTAGAAAGGCATGGATAGAGATGCAGGAATAGGAGAGGAGAAAGGTTGATTGAATTCTGCAAAGAACATAGTATGGTTTCAAAAGCATAAGAAAAGATTATATACATGGAAAGATCCTGGATACAATAACAGATATCAAATAGATTACATAATAATTAAAGAGAGATACAGGAACTCTATTACGGATGTAAGCACCTATCCAGGTGCTGACAGACTCAGATCACAACCTCTTATTCACAGAAGTCAAAATAAGGTTCAAGAAGATCACAAAGACGGGAAAGATAAGCAAGAAATGGAATTTAGAAAATTTGAAAAGGAATAGTGAAATATTTAGATAAGTATCTGAACAAAAATTCAAATAAATAGATGAAGAGGATGCTGAAGAACCAAATGAATTGTGGATATCAATGAAGGAAAAGATTGTGTCACAGTAAAGGAACAGGTAGGAAAGAAAAAAGGTCAAAGAACTTGCAAACCCTGGGTTATGGAGGAAATGGTGAATAAAATGAATGAAAGAAGAAGGTAAACTCTAAAGAAGTAAGATGAAAATACAGAGAACTAAACAATAAGCTAAGAAGGGTGATTGAGCAAACCAAAAAAGAGTGGCTTGAAAGAGAATGTGTTGAAATTGAAAGTCTGGAGAGGTCAAAAAGATTTGAACTAATGTATAATAAAGTTAAGAATGCATTCTGGTTCAGAAGGGCTAAGAAAGTAATTATTAATGAGAAAAATGGATAGATTATAAATAAGAATAAGATCTTGCACAGATGGCACAAATACATAAGTGATCTGTACAGAGCAGAAGATAATGCAGAACTGAAGTTAGAAGAAGAAAGTGATGTTGATAAAGATGAAGAAGCTCAAATCTTGATGGAAGAGATTATGAGTACAGTAGAAGGATTAAGAAACAGAAAATCAGAAGGTATCGATAACATCCCTATAGAATTAATTAAGAATATGGGCAAAAATGGAATTAATAAAATTGCCAGGTTTTGCAACATGATCTATGATACAGGCATGTGGCCCAACAACTTTCTGAGAAATATTGTAATTCGCATTCCAAAGAAAGATAAAACAACCAGATGTGAAAATTATTACCACTCCAAATGGGGGAGGTCGTACCGGTACCTACTAGACCTCCCCTATTAGGAACTTAAATCCTTTTAGGTTCATGCTAAATTAATTGTTTTAAGTATATTTAAGTAAAACTTTATTTATCACATTAATTATATATTAATTCTAGATATTACATTAATATTGTGTATTTTCTTACATAACTGGTATAATGTTCTTTAAAAAAAATTATTATTTTTTGTTTCCAGTAGTGTAACCAGGAGGAGGCATTAGGCCTTCTGAAAAATGAAATAAATACATATAGGAAAAAGATTTGGATGTGACAAATGCACTTATACATGTGTGTTTATACAATATCTAAGAGTTTACTTTTCATCTACAGCACTAGTGGCTACATCTGCAGTGTCAAAGGGATAAAAATAGATTTGCTAATTCAGGCTCCCTAATATTGGTTCTGGTTATGCTATTGTTCTGTATATAATTGGTCTATACAATTATAAAATAACTAAAGATGATAACTGTAGTGTTATCAAAAGTACTTGGGAAGTATACATGTTTTGTTTTTAACAAATTTGTTACTTCTTTTCTTATGATAAAAACTATTAACACCTTAAGACAATTTTAAAATACAGGGTGTATCAAAAAGAATGACCTGATTTTAAAACTTTATATATTTATTGGTGGAAACATACTACAAAACAGAGACAAAATGCAAAATACTCACAAAATCTTAGTTTCAGCTATGTTATTACAAATACTCTGTGTCTACCAGTAGCCACATGGACAACATCTAGATGATAGCTAAATTCTTCATACACTCTACATAAAATATCTAAGTTGACAGAAGTCACTACAGCTCTTATTCTGTTTTTTAGCTCATCTAGGTCACGAGCTAAAGAAGGGACGAAAACTCTTTCCTTCACGTATCCCCACAAGAAAAATCACATGGGGTCATGTCTAGAAATCTTGGAGGCCAAGAATGTAGGGCAGTGTCTCATGGTCCCATACACCCTATTCAGCATTGAGGCAGTGTGTCATTGAGAAATTGTGGCATCTAGAGGTGATTCTCTAAAACTCTAGGCCATGCTCATTTGATCAACACATATTTCCTTCCTGGAATATCCCGTTTCATAATTATAACACTATAAAATCAGGTCATTCTTTTTGATACACCCTATACATCTACTAAAGATGTTTAATTTTAAACAGATAGAAGTAATAATGTAATGTAATAGTTCACATACTATATTGCTATAAATGTAAAATAAAATAAAATAATTACAAATTAAATCAACTAAATTAAAAATGCTTATATTAAATTGTTAAACATTTCCTGTATGTTAGGTATATAAGTGATTTAATGAAAGACTTCTGCAGTGTCAACGGGATAAAAATTAGAATAGAGCCTTAGAATAAGGTGGAGGGCAGTGTCTTCTATTCAATAATAAAAATTATACACGTTTTTATTTTTAAAAATTGATTATTATATAATAAAAAGTAAAAATTTAAGTCTTGCCTTAGAGGTCTGTCATTTTTTGTAGCCTCACAAAGTAGTGTATTTAATGAACACACAGTATGTTCAATGAAGCTGGAAGTATTTATGTATTATGACAACCAACAAAATCTTTTACTTCCTGTGAATGCAGAAGCATTAATGTTCCTTCATTATAATTTATCACTCTTGAATTATGATCACTGATAATTTTATTAAAAATTAACAACTATTAATGTAATATTATTTTTAATCTGCAGGTATTCTTGAACTATATTCCTTCATTTCTCAAAACCTGCATATTAATATTAACATAATAGTCTTCTGAATTTCAAGATATTTAAATTCAATTGTTTAGCATTCTAATTATAACAAACATTTTTTGACCTGATGCAGATCCTAAGGGGATTGAAACGTTTGTCATAACATATTTAAATTAAATTATATTTGCTGGTATAATTTAAAGGTTTTAGTGGTGTTATTTAATAATAGTCTCCCTGAGAATGGCCATTTACAACACCCTGTATAAAATATCATACATATAAGGTCTGATAATTATAAATTATATATTTCTCTAGGTATTTATTTGATTATGATGTAATTTGTTGTAAAAAATGAAAATATCATTGAGGAACTAAGGTATATATTGAATACAAAATCATAACAATTTAAAATAAGACTCATAATACATAGTATCCAATAATTCTAATGAACACTTGATTAAGAAAATAAAATAAAATGTTATTACTATAATTAAATAAATATAAGTTTTGTTTTATTATTTTTTTATGTATATATGGATATGCACTTATTTATTTTATAAACCATTGTTATGTTGTCACAATACCTTGGTTTCTATGATAGCCTCTAAGATTGCATTGGAACTTTGCCTACCAGTTGTCCTTGATAATTCTTGACTTCTTAATTGCTGAATTAATATATGAATATAAAAGCATTATATTTCAAAATATTTTTCAACTGAAAATTCTCATTGATAAAAATTCCCAATTGGATTAAACATAATAAATTTACATTAAGTTATTTTATTTTCTTTCTATTTCAATTATTTTATATAAGCTTATCTGTAAACATCAAATATTATAAATGAAAATACATTATCATATAAATTCTTTAAAAAAATTTGAATTTTAAAAACATTAAAAAGTAATCAATAAAAATAAAACATATTTATATTTTGTTTTTTACACTAATAATATTAAACTTCTAAAAATATCTCAAAATAACTCAAATTGCTTTATTTGCAATAAACAATTATAAATGAGCATAATCTTAATATTTTTGTCTAATGACCATTGGAAAAAAACAGAAATTAAAAAAAATAATAATAAAATAAATTATTACTACTATAAAAGCAAAACAACAAATTGACTTGGAAAATGTAAGAAGAAAAAAAAAATGACAAAAATTAAACAAATTAATAAATGATATAAGTGAAATAATAATTAATAAAGTTTTAATTTAAAGTTGAAGAAAGATCAACATAGCTTGCTTAGAATAAACTTTCTAGAGACAACAATAATTAATGGAAATGAGAAATACGAAACCAGTTTACAAGAAATAATTCTTTGTTCTGATATATGAATATATTTCAGAAAATTCAAAAGATATCTAAACTATAATCCTTAAAGAACTGCATTCTATTCCCTTATTAAAAATCTCTTTTCACGTATTTAAAGTGGAAATTTCTTAATAAAGAGCTAAATATTGTTTAGAACAAAGAAAAAGAGACACAAATTCAAACTTTTGTCTTTTATAAAATTACTATGCATATGTAGCTAGAAGTATTTCTAAGATTATCAGCACAAAACCTTTCTCACTAATTAAGAAGGCCGAAAACGTTTGTACTCCTGTTAATAAGGCTAGAAATTAGTGAGAAAGGTTTTGTGCTGATAATTTTATAAAATTAGTGCACAAATAACAGAAAGTATTTTCAAAACACAGAACTACAATTATATTTATTAGGAAAGGCAGTTAAAAAATCTAACCCACTAATAGCACTAAAATATAGCCACTGAATCTTCTAATTCCTTTAGAACAATAAAAATGATGTTCATTTGTAAGATATAGTGAGTAAACTGGATTCCAATCATTGATAAAATCAATGGGAAAGAACCAATGTTTTTGGACTCCAATGTATTCTAATGTTGGAGTCCAAAGATAGATAGACTGAACACACAATTATCCATGTGCAGACTATCTGTGCATTGTCCCAATATTAAAATTACTGTAAAATGACAAAGTATCACAAGCAACATGCAGCTTTTCTTTCTTCCCTCAACTGTCAATCCTAAGGAATGGAAGTGAGGCAAGTCCTTATCCCTCAAATATTATATTGCTGTAGGCAAAGTTGGTGCTATAAACAGTAATTTGAAAAAATATCCTACTAGTCCTAAAATTAAAATACAGCTTTTTAGAAAGAATGTAACAATTATACATAGAACACAATATTTTTGAAAATAAAAGAAATTTACATTTTATGTTTATTGACTAAATATGCATTTTAGCTTATGAAACTTTGAACTTACACTTGCATCACAGTGTAAAGGAGTTGAGCTGTAGATATACTGTAGTTCATTTAAAACCTCTGAATATTTTTTTATAGTTTAGAGCAGTGTTTTTATCTCATGGCACACTTAAACCTATAATTAAATTTCCATGGAAAAAATTACGTAATTTAAAGTATGTTGTTTGTAAACATTCTATCGCCATATTACTTGCCACTTAGCCTAATTCTTTTTGTCTATATTTTTTGTAAATTAAATAAAATAGTACTGTTGTTCTATAAAACAGCAGCAGGTTACAACAATAGTTATTTAAATTAATAATTTTCATTTACTTAGAAAAGCAATTAACATTAAGTCTTAGTTTGCATTTAAAAGTGACAGATAATTGCCTTTAGAAACTTGTCCAATATCCTGTTATTTCTAAGTTAAAATAATTTGAACTAAATATGGATAATTATAGATACATTTTTGATTTAAATGAAATAACTTGGTGATATGCATATATAATTTTGCTTATGACTATATATTTTTTACTACATTATGTATACATTTATTTATTATAACAATGAAAAACTAAATTGATTTTACGAGTTTTTCATTGTTATAATAAATAAATATATACATAATGTAGTAAAAAACATATAGTCATAAGCAAAATTATATATGTTTTATTAATTTTAATTTAATTTTTTTTAGTCTAGTCTCTCATTCTCCAATTTGTTCATCTTCAAATCAACCAGTATCAAATCTAAACTTTCATTAAGCTTATCTTTTCTTTCTTTCTATTCATTGTCATCCTTTGATAAAAATTATGAAAGTTTTTGAAATATGTTCTTTTATTGAATCTTTATATATTTTTTTAATTTTATGTATTATAGAATATTAATAATGCATAATGTAATGTAATGTAATGCATAGTAATAATAGATGTTTTCAGTTATACTGCATAATGCTCACATCAGTTCAAATGCACGTTGCTGATAATTAAATTTCTTCTCAATGTTTAAAATGCTTTTCAAAATCACATTATAATGCAGCATTAAAAGAAAAATTATTATATATATATATATATATAGATCATGGAAATAAAACTGCTTAACATTAACTATTTTATAGCTTTTGTATTGTTTTTCTAACTTGTTACTTAATAAAATTGATAATCTACAGATGTTTCCCTCCATATGAAATAAAATCTTAAAAATCAACTTTCAAAATAATGATAATTATTTTGAAAGAATCTTACAATTGACAGCATCTTACAACAGCATCTTAGAATTGAGGAAATACAATAATTTAATTAATAAATTAACCTTACAGTTTAATTAACCAGTTAACCTTAACCATTAACCTACACCTTACCTTACCTAAAATATGTTACACTCAGAAATCAAAAAGTATGTATTATATTAAAAAACATTACAAAACTCGGAGTTCAATAACATAACAAAAAATTTCATTTTAAAATAAATTTATTATCTCATTCAATGCATTAATATACTCATATTAACATAATTTTCAAATATACTATGCAAAAAAAAAAACATTCAAGATAATAAAAAAATGAATATAATATTTCTTCACTTATGAAATAATACCATTACTTCTTCAAGAAAAACAATTAATTAAATGCACAAAATGTACAATTAAGTTGGAAACAAAGTTTTCAGAAATATCATAACTAAGAAAAGTTTTGAGAGATCTGAAATTATTCCATTTTGCTTACTTTATCTAAATATATAAAATTACTTGTCCTGATTGACTGACTGATTGATTCATCATCACCCAGAGCTGAACCTAAAGAGGTATAACAATTTAAAATAAGACTCATAAAACATAGTATCCAATAATTCTAATGAACACTTGATTAAGAAAATAAAATAAAATGTTATTACTATAATTAAATAAATATAAGTTTTGTTTTATTATTTTTTTATGTATATATGGATATGCACTTATTTATTTTATAAACCATTGTTATGTTGTCACAATACCTTGGTTTCTATGATAGCCTCTAAGATTGCATTGGAACTTTGCCTACCANAAAAAAACATTCAAGATAATAAAAAAATGAATATAATATTTCTTCACTTATGAAATAATACCATTACTTCTTCAAGAAAAACAATTAATTAAATGCACAAAATGTACAATTAAGTTGGAAACAAAGTTTTCAGAAATATCATAACTAAGAAAAGTTTTGAGAGATCTGAAATTATTCCATTTTGCTTACTTTATCTAAATATATAAAATTACTTGTCCTGATTGACTGACTGATTGATTCATCATCACCCAGAGCTGAACCTAAAGAGGTGAAATTAGGTTCAGTTAGGGTAAGTCATGAAAACACACACTAAGAAGGGATTTTTCAAAATTCCCCAGTGGGGGAAGAGGGAGAGGATTAAGGCTTAACCTGAAGAATGGCTGCTACTGTACTATTTTAAATGCAAGTTTTTGTTTTCAACTACGATTAGTCTTCATTGAGTACTTAGGTGTATTAAATTGATAACATTTCAGACATTGTTATAAATATTTTTATATATTTCAATTTTTTAACCAAATGTTCGAATCATTTTAAATTCAAATTTGTTATTGCATATTGGTTCGGTTATAGAACGATTGTAAACATTCCAGAAAATTGATCAAATTGAAAACAGTTTATTTGATTCTCAGCAATTCTCATCATTCTCAGCAGTAGGTGTTATATAACAATTACTATGGTTGTTGAAATACTGAATATAAATGGAGTTTGCTTGCAAAATCCACATGGGTGAAGTGATGGGTAACAGCTAGTCATTATATAAAGTAGAAAAAATTGATCTTTAGTAATATTGGATATACTGTATAATTTTCATTATATAACTAACATTAGTTAAGACCTGAATGACACTAAAATATCTAGTACTGTTTCTATAATTATGCCATTCCATGAAGGTTATTCAATAAAAATATAGAAAATCAACAGTACTAATCTCACTATGATGATATAACTTGTGTCAAAAAAAACAAACATGAAAATTTCAATGAAAACCATTCACACTTTTCCAGCAAAAGGGTTTATGGAACAAACATTTTCGGTTTATTTTATAAACCTGCCTGCCTCAGGTTTCAAACAACAAAATCCCAAATTGGAATGTTTCAAACATTCAATGACGTTATTTATAAAATTTTTTTTTTTAATATTGTAANCCAAATATAAATAATAAAAAAATAAACCTACTAAAATTAAAAAATAAAAATACAAATAAAGTGAACAATAAGAATTCAATATGTCTATGCATTTTTATGTATAATTAATCTGCAGGATTATCGAAAAATGAACAACAAACATTAGATAAGAATTCTGAGTCTTTGTGGTTAATGCAATTGTTTTCAATGTGACCTTGACTATCTTCAATGTTTTAAG